CCACCAAAAAGACGAGAGCTCCATTCCCTTCCTGCCATGGCAACTGGTCTGGGGCTCACTGTTACCAACCATAGCAAGGACTCTGGCACCAGAGTGCCTCTCCCAATGCCAACTCCTCGCAGAGGGCTTCAAGGTGGTGCCTGGCTTTGTTTCCACCAGGAGTTCCTGTGATCTCCCCTCGCTTTGCCATGGTAAGGGCAACTATCCCAACTGTTTATGAGCTGGTGCTGGTGGCCTCTTTCAGCAAGGCATGTCTGTCTCATCTTGGCATTACTGGGGAGCTGCAGGGGTGCAGTGGGCTGCCCATCCCAAAGCAAAACTATGGAAATAGAGGCACACTGTGCTCATGTGTTCTAGAAAGAGCTGCCCCTTTGCCCATCTCCATGATATGCTGAAGGGTGCGAGTCCATCACACCCTGCTTTGTGTTGGGGGAATAATGACTGACGTGGAAATTCTGCCACTGAAACAAGAACCAAACCCCAGATCAGGCTACTGCTTTCTCTCTTGTTCCTATCAAGTGTCAGGTCAGCAGCTGCTGGAGTTTGTTTAAATGCCCTTCGCGGCTATAGCAGTTCTTGTGATTGCAGTAGGTAGCTGAGAGAAGGTAGGTGAGTCCTGGATAGAGGGTCTGTCTTAGGAGGAGGGGCCAGAATGAGACTGACATCCCATGTATTGGATAGCTGTGTCTTGCTGAACATGGTGGGACAAATTTTCAACCTGGCCTTAACTAGGCCTCCCTTTCCAGAGGTTGAATTATTTGCATCCACAGCTGAGATCATGCCGATGTCAAAGTGCACGTACCAACCAGGGGGTCAGACACCTCAGCAAACTAAACTGCAGGGCAAAATTGCAACTGCAACTATTTGTGTGGCAATTTGTGGCAAGCAAAAGGAAGCCATTGCCTGAACATCTGGCCTGGTGGATGTTCAACGTATGCAACTTCTGGCTTTTCCCTCAGGGATGCTGACTATTTTATACTTAGATCTGGTGTGACTAGAGGGTTGTATATTTCCTGTATACAATATGGAGTCTGATTGCTATTTGACATCAAGGATCCTTCCTTCTCAATGATCACCTGCAGAGGAAGACAGCGAAGGCTCTGTTTAAACCCTGTGGCTGGGAGAGGGGAAGAGAGTAAGAGCTGTTAATTAAGGGCACTTTCTCTGGGTAAGATTATTTGGCTTTTGAAAAATAGCCCAATATTTTGCCAGCTGCTTACAGCCTCCAGCTTTATCCTTCTCTAGCAACTAATCCAGCCACCAGCTAACAAAGTTCCAACAAACTCTCTTCAGGGGGGCTGTGCTAGATTTGGTGCAGGTAAATCTGGGGAAGACCTGCAAGCTGAGTTGACCTGCATCTTGCTCCTGGAGTAGAAGCAGAGATGAAAACTTCACATTGGTTGCCATATTTCTTTACAAATTAATTTTTTCAAACAGACATACAGATGAGCGAATAACACTCATTGTACCTAGACGAAAAAGCCACTAATGGAAGGAAAAAAATGGTTATGGCTATTGCAGGTTGTTTAGAAACACTTGTATCTCTTCACTCCATGCTACAGGTAATGTGAATTTGTATGGAAGAGGCTGAGTGGTAACACTAAGTGTTGTGGTAGTCTGACTTTTTAGTTGTTCCAAGCAACATGAAGACAGGATTTTTATATTGAGACATAATGTCCCAAATCCACTGGCCTTTGTTGTTCTGCTATAGGCTTGGGTCTCTGTCTTACTGTTCCTTTCACCTCCTGTAGCAATGCTCTAGTTAGTAATTTTGTACCTTGTTGGAGCAGGATTTCAAACACTCTGGGATTCCTATAACTTAATCACCAGTTTTTAGCGCTTTCTCTTCAGTTGTTACTACTTAGTTGTAAGCTGAGCACTGGCCTTAGAGGATTGTAGTACATTGTTTGCAACTCTTTCATACATAGAATGCTGCATTTGCAGCCAGGATGCTGCGCATTAACTAGATGGAGCAATAATACTCTAATTTATGCCTTTTTAATATAGTTTTCAATGCTGTGAAGCACATTGAGCTTTGGGATGGCTGGGGGGTAAATACCTGTAATTATTTTGCTAGTTTTATTCCTATTCATCCTCAACACTATGATTGGAAAGAATTATCTTGTATAGTTTTACTGGGAGAAATAAATACTTTGTCAATTACCTCGGGTAGAATTTGAGCAGATGCCAATATTTAAATACTTGATTTTTTTGCTGTAATTTTTTTTTTTTGTGGTTTTTTTGTGGTTTAATTTTATTTTATATAGTGAATTTTAAAGCTTCTCGTTTTTATAATTTAATAAATGTAATTATACTTGAGATTGTCCAATCCGCAATGGCACTTTCTGGAATGGGATTTTATATTTGTATGTCTAAGGCAAGAAATCAAATAAAAAGCAAAACCAAGTTCTGCGGTCCCAGCCAGTCTCTTCTTTCATGGGGATGATTGTGTGGTGATGGTGTCCTGGAGGCTGAAGTAATCTCTCCATAGAACAAGCTTAGCATAGACAGCAGCAGTGCATGTTCCCCCTTACCCACCAGTGAGTCCCCTTTCCTGGCTGTAGGGAACCCACTATGTGAGGGAGAAGAGAGTTCAGGCTTTGTGGCACATTCAGTCCAGGGCCTCTCTGCTGAGACCATGTTGGTGGCTTTTGTGGTGTGCATAAGTATCTAGTAGGAACTGGCCTGGAAGCACCAACCTCCTTGCACAAAGAGCGCTGAACAGGCAGGCAAAGACATGGAAATGATCACTTCCTGCCAGGGTTACTGGCAGAAAAGCCGAACCATGATCTCCCTTCCTCATGTGGGGGAACCCTGATCAAACATCTAAAGCAGCATAATTCAGTGGAATTGTTCCTCCCCTATTGCTTGTGAGGGTCAGTGCTGACCTCATGCCCCCATCTTCTGTCTCTTGCTAAATGTTCTATTTATATTATTGTAGCTGGGTCCAATTTTCTGGTGTAGACTAGCCCAAAGACTCTAAACTCTTGGGACTACATCCAAAGGGCCTATGAAGTCAGAAGGCATCGGCCCAGGACAATAGCTGCAGACAATGGATTAGCCATTCCATCTCACTTTATATCTGGAACAGAAAGTGAGTAATGGCTGGTCTACACTAGTATTCTTCCATCTACCTAGTACCGCCTCTTTGGGAGGTGGATTTATTACAGAAAAGGGAAAACCCCTCTTGTCACTGTAGTAAGTGTCTACACTGAAGTGCTACAGCGGTACAGCAGTAGTGGTTAAGTGTAGACATAGCCTAGCAAATGGATAATCCACCTCAGTTTAGCAGATGCAGCCTCCCATGCACTACGTACTAGTCAAGAAGGAGGGGATCGTTCCTGAAATAGGCACTTCCTCCAGCCTCCTCCAAAGCCAAGTGCAAAGCTTTGTGTGGAAATTCCCAACTCCAGCACAGACCTCAGTGAGAATGTACTCTTCACAGCACAGTGGAGAATGGCTCTTCCTGACTGGAACAGGAGTTCTGTGTTTGCCTTGTGAGTGAGCCATAGTACTCTCCCACATTTCATAGGCCCATTTCTGCTCATGTGCACAAGGCAAGGACTCACTCCAGAGCAGAGTGAGGGCCAGCAGGGCCGTGGGAGAGTGTGGTTGAAATGTGATGTTCCCCAAAACATTTACTATTGCGTGGGACACGGCTGGCTGCTACCCACCCCATCTCACCCTGCACAGGCCACCAGCACTAGCAGCTGAATCACAAGGTCTGATGCTGCTGAAAGCCTAAAGCCACAGATGCAGAAAACTGCAGTTAGCAGACTGCACAGCTCTTGCTACTCACCCTGTACAGGCTGTCAAAGGGCATATAAATATACTGCTTTCAAAGCAACATCAACCAAGCCAGAAAAAATCACTCTTATTCCAGAGTTCACAAGGGATTTCTACCCATATAGCTATAGTGGTATAATTATACCAGTGAAGTCATGCTTGTAAATTGTCTACAATCCATAGTGTCTGATGGGGGAAAAATAGGAGCTGATGAAGATAAAGCCCTGCTTGAAAATAAAGCAAGCAGAACCTTTTGTGATGCTGGCAGACCAAGTGAGATCAGGGCCCCAGGCCAATTCATTTGTGTTAACAGAGATCAAAGTGTTTAAACACCAGTCTTGTACAAACTTTATGAAAACGAATGGGATGTAACTTGCATTATTTTCACTTGTCTGTGTCCTGCTATAATGTAATAGCAAAAGTTTAGTGTCTATACCCCTGTAACTAAATAACCCCTCAAAGAAGTTTTGTGAAATGCTAATTTCGAAGCAAGCTGCCATTGTGTATGACGGTCAGAGGTCAAAAGACTAAGTGCATTCCTCACTCCTGGGCATCAAAGGAAAACCCCATGTGGGTAAAAACAGCTTTCTTTCTGGGTGAAGAAACTATAAATATGATTCGAAGAAAGCTCCTGTATTTCTGGACTGTTCGGATTCTTACAGGGACAAGTACCAGATGGAAAGCAGAGATCCCCAGAGACAATCTGGGTACCCTGAAAAGACTTTTGAGAAACTAGCAGTTTATCACCTCACTGCCACCACTTGGAACTACAAACTGTAACTCACCTGTTAATATCTTTTATTATCCGCTTTAACCTCTCAACTCTTATTTCCTTTTCTTAGCTAATAAACCTGTAGTTACATTACTATAGAATTGGTAGCCAGTGTTGTCTTTGGTGTAAGATTTGGAGTACCAATTGATCTGGGGTAAGTGACGAGCCTGTGGCAACTAGGAGCAACCAGATACAGTGTGATATGGGGGGGAGGGGGGTCTCAGGGGGTTGGAGTGTGGGGCTGGGGCAGGGCCTTACCTCCGGCAGCTCCCAGGCAGCAGCACAGCCGGCGTGCAGAGACAAGCTTCCTGCCTGCCCTGGCACCGCAGACCCGGGAAGCGGCCAGCAGCAGGTCCAGCCCCTAGGCTGCAGCCCTCGCCCGCAGGCACCGCCTCCCCCAGCCGGTGTTCAGGGCGGGGGCAGCGGGCGTGGAGCGCCTGCCCGCCCGCCCAGGAGCCAGGCAGGCTGCCGGCTGCGCCCAGGGTGCAGCGCAGGGTCACAACAGGGAGGGACCAGCCTGCCTTCGCCGGGCAGCCGCGCCGCCGGGATTTTTAATGGCCCGGTCCGGCGTGCAGACCGGGGCGCCGCGGTCCACTGCCCTGACCTTCCGCGACGCCGCACTGGGCCGGGACCCGCAGTCTGAGAAGCCTGCTCTGGACCACGTCCCGAACGACGAGCGCCAGTGGGCACCCGGGCCCTTGGGGGGGGGGGGGTCAGTGGCTGGATTTTCTGCATCTTGGAGGTGGCGCCCGAGCCTGACCCCTGGACCCCCCGACCTCAGGCCCGCACCCCTCAGCTGGAGCTGGGCTCGCCCAGGCCCCGCCCCTAGCTCCGCCAGGCGGGGGGCGGGCTGCGCCCTGGTCCGCTCCTCGGCTCTTCCCCGGCCGCGCTCTTTCCACGGCCCCGAGAGGAGGGGGGCGGGGCTTGCGAACGACACCAGCGGCGGCCAATGGGCGGCGGGGGGGAGCCTCGCGGGTTCTGTTTCCGGTGGCAAGAGGAGGGCGTGCGGCCTGTCTGCGCGAGCCGGGGGGTGGCTGAGGTACGTGGGCTGCAGACGGGGGTCGGGCTGCGGGGGAGCGCAGCAGCGAGGAGAGGACCCTTCCGTAGACTTTGGCGGGGGCGGGAGGGGCCGCGGTGAAGGTGGAGGGGGCAGAGCCCCGCAGGAGCTTGCGGGCACGAAGGCGGCGGCGGCGCCCCCTGCTGGGTTGGGCCCTGCTGGTCCCGGGTTGTCTTCCCCGTGGCTGGGCGTGCGGCTCGTTCTTCCGCCCAGGTGAGCCCAGCCGGGCTCTCCGGTCCTGGGCTGCCAGGCCCCCAAGGGTGCCTGCTCGCCGCAGCGGGTGGCTGGTCTCGCGGCTGCCTGCGCTCTGCGGCGGCCGAACTGATCCGCCCTGTTGTCTGTTCACAGCGACCGCTGCCTGATGCCGCTGCACAAGTACCCGCCGCGGATCTGGGACGCTCTGAAGCTGAAGCAGGGCATCTACGCCCGGCTGCCCGCCCATTATCTCAAGTCCCTGCAGGATAACACCCAGCCCACCCCCGTTCACTGGAAGCCCCTTGGGGTGAAATATAAATTAAATCCCGAAACAGGCCAACGGCAACGCGTGCAGGATGTTCCTATCCCCGTCTACTACCCCCCCGAGTCTCAGCAAGGGCTCTGGGGAGGAGAAGGCTGGATTTCCGGCTTTCGGTATGCTGGCAATGACAAAGTGAGTGAGTTTGGAGTGCGGCTGAGCCGCATCTGAAAGGGAAAACAAAATAACTACACCTCTACGCCGACGTAACGCGACCCGGCATAACTTGGGTTCGCCTACAAGGCGGGAAAGCTCTGAGCAGCGTGTTAAGGGTGCCGGGCCAGGGCCGAGGGGTTGGATCTCCCCCGCAGGGTCTGGGAGGCAGGAGCTGGGGGGGCACTTTTGGGGGCCCCGCAGTCCCAGAGTGGCCCGGGGGATTAGTGGGGGGCTGGGAGCAGCCTGCTCTGCTTCCCTCGTCCCGGCCCCAGCTGTGTCGCTCTGGGGAGGGGGCTTGGGGGAAGGGATTCCCCCCCGCACTCACCGGCAGCGGCGGAAGCGGAGCAGCCCGGCCTCAGCCTGCTCCACTCCGCCAGCTCCCAGTCATGGCGCTCCACTTCCTGCCGCAGGTGAGTGCGGGACCTTTCCCCAACACACACACACACACTCTTCAGTAGCAGGGGTTTTGGGTGGCAGTTACTGTAACTCTTATTCTCTTTTCTTCACCAATAGTATCCAGGCTTCCAAGTTGGGGTTTATTGTCCCTCTTTCTTCCACCTGCTCTGATGAGAGCATCATGTGAACTGTAATCTACTATACTTTCATTTGTTAATCTTAAGAAATAATTCCTGTTTATGCAGTGTTGTAATGAGCTGTGTAACCAAGACCCAACCACATGTGCAATAGGGGTTGCTGCATCCTTAATGTTGCCAAGGCTGAAAAGCTACAAGACAGTAAGAGGAGAAGAGTGCTAGGAAGCAAAGTCATAGCTAAAGTCAGACAGTGTGAGGAGTGATAAATTTAGCCCCAAGTGGTTTAGAAAGGGGCCCATGCATCCTGAAAGTCATTGCTTTTTACCTGGTGTTCTGCAGATAATTTTATGATAGGAAGCAGAGTTTGGGAGGGGCATGCCAAGGTCAATTCTGGCCATGAAGTTTGGAGGTGTATTTCTAACTGCCTAAGTAATGACCTTGGTAACTAAAGAACTTAATGTAAGCCACTTTATTTCTCCTTTTGTAAGGCCATGGATCTTGTCTCCTGTTTACATAGAGAGTTCTTGCCTTCGACGTATTTATTCAAGATGTGCTTTATGTAAAACCGTATTTTCAAACCCATAGACTGTCCTATAACTTGCAGGCCTGTTCCTCTGGCATTTGACTGTGTTGAACATAGATAAGAGACCTTGAGCACCAGCCTCTTAACTTTAATCAGGAATAAAGTTAAACTTGTGCAGTCTAAAAATGTTATTTTCAGCTTGGCACCCTTCACTAGTTTATAATATGAGACCAGGTACTAGTCTAAGTTGTTTCATTAAGGGTGATGTTTAAAGTACTGTATGTGTTTATGGTCTGTGAAAATGATACTTTATTACTTCACAGAACCTGCTACCTGTGCATATTTAGTCTTATCTGTTGACTTCACAGACCCAAACAAGTTCCTACTCCTCTTGGTTCTGCAGTGTCAGTACAGCTCTGGAAGAGAACTGGTGCCTACTCTTGTTTAGATGTGTGGCAGTTCTCCAAAAAGGGCGCTATTTTTAAGTTTAATGTATCCACCCTCACTCTCACATTATGTATTTGAAAACTTATTTTGTGTGTGTTTAAGGTGAGGTATGATGTGGGGCTGTAAGCGTGTAGGTAAGGTGAAACAGTGGTACTCAAAATGAGTAACTTTTTTCAGAGTTCCAGAAACAGTGCAACATAACTGACCATGGTTTTTCTGTTTAAATTAATTTCAGTACCTTAATGTCATGCTTATTGGTCAAAGCTAGCAAATGACAACGTATTAAAAGATTTTTGCATGGGCAATTTTCCCCCCCAGAAATGATGCTGTTTAGCATGTGGCAAAAATGGCTAATATAAACATATACTAACATGAAATATTTTCACATCACGTTTTATTTGTCAAAGTATATCACATGATTATAATAATGTTCTATATTTTCAATTGCAATTTGCTGATCTGATCAGTCTCACACTGAAGATTGCACACCACTAGCAGTAGATTACATACCCATAGCTTGTGCTTTGTAGTGGGTAATTCCTAATATGCTTCTCCATTTGTGAGCTTTTATACATACAATGTAGCATCTAGTCTGCCTGCTAGATTTTAATTTGTACTTGCCTATGCAACTACCCACTGAAATATTCTAGAAACTATTGTTTTAATTCAGTGACACTTATTCACAGCTCAGTATTAGTGTTAGAGATGACAGCTTCATATTATGAATATCCAAAGGCCATGGGAGAAAGAAGTGGCCTAACAAGAAGTAGTGAAGACAAAGTCCACAAACAAGTCCTTGCTCCTGCACTGAAGAAGAGCATGTTACAACTCTTAACAACCATGTCAGCAACAATAAGACAAAACACATTTGATCTTCCATTGCACCCAGAAGAGCACTATCAACATATCTGCTGAACTGCATGTCACATCAGATGTACAAAAGTCTCTGCTGCAAATAGCAGATGTTGAGGAAGAACAAATGGAGAGATTTGAGAGAGATGAATGATTGCTCTGCAATTTCTTATACATACACAGTTCTGCTTATCCTGTCAAACATGAGAATAGACTCTTAAAATCCACGGCAGGCTTCTATCAGGCCTACATATGCCTTTGCTCCCAACAGTAATGATGTTGACTAGAAATGTCAGCAGTGCTATTACATTTCAATGATACCTGTACAAATCTGTTAGACTTTGTTTAACCCTTTAGATCAGTGGTTCTTAACCTTTTTTCATTTGTGGACCCCTAAAAAAATTTCAGATGGAGGTGAGGACCCCTTTGGAAGTCTTAGACATAATCTGCGGACCCCCAGGGGCGCATGCACCACAGGTTGAGAATCACTGCTCTAGGTTGTAACTTCAAAGCATTACAGCAACAACAAAAATCCAATTTTATGTCTTGAATTAATGCAACTAACAGAAACAAATGCAAATATTTCAAAGTGGTCATTTTAATGTGCTGATGGTGACATTATCACTGTTTCTATGGTAATGGCATCAATTCACAGCTTCACATCAGACCTCATCTTAAAGTAGACATAATAAGCTTTCAAATGATGTACCGGGGCATGTGTGTGTGTAGAGAAAGTATACTATGTCGACCAAATTGGTGGTGTTTGCTGCCCACCTGTTTTGCAGCATATTCAGAATTGTCGACTGAATTCCAGTGTTAGGTTTTAGTGTTGGTGATGTGCAAAGCAGAAAGAGCCCAGCTTAACTATCAGATCCCAGGGTTAGTGTGCAGAGGTGGCAGGTAGAACAAATATCATTTTACTTATCAGCTGAGCAAACTTGCTCTGGAATTACTGAGACCCAATACCCACAGACTTCTCCTGTAAACCCTTCATTCCATTTTCAGCAAATCGTACCTAGATTTAATTTCTGCACCCAGCAGGACTTTATTCTGTAGTTCCTGAAAGGCTCTGAGGGCCAGATCCTCCAGGATATCAGGTGCCCATCTCCCATTGAAATCTGGTGGTAGTTGAGTACCTAAATACCTTTTGAGAATCTAGAGCAAGTTCTTGAGACAGGAATAAATCTGTTGCACAGCAGAGCCGACAATAATTAGCACTGTTTCAGAGGAACAGCCGTGTTAGTCTGTATTCGCAAAAAGAAAAGGAGTACTTGTGGCACCTTAGAGACTAACCAATTTATTTGAGCATGAGCTTTCGTGAGCTACAGCTCACTTCATCAGATGTATACCGTGGAAACTGCAGCAGACTTTATATACACACAGTGAATATGAAACAATACCTCCTCCCACCCCACTGTCCTGCTGGTAATAGCTTATCTAAAGTGATCAACAGGTGGGCCATTTCCAGCACAAATCCAGGTTTTCTCACCCTCCACAAACCTGGATTTGTGCTGGAAATGGCCCACCTGTTGATCACTTTAGATAAGCTATTACCAGCAGGACAGTGGGGTGGGAGGAGGTATTGTTTCATATTCACTGTGTGTATATAAAGTCTGCTGCAGTTTCCACGGTATACATCTGATGAAGTGAGCTGTAGCTCACGAAAGCTCATGCTCAAATAAATTGGTTAGTCTCTAAGGTGCCACAAGTACTCCTTTTCAATTAGCACTGTGTTTGTCTAACCTAGGTGTGTGAAACCAAGGCTTCCACAGACAGCAACAGTATGTCTACTTTCCTATGGTGTGATTAGGCTTCCTGGCTCAGGGCTAGTCTTTGGAGGTGTTGGGATGCCAAACAAGCCACATTTGTGCTTTTTGTAAGAGTTCGTTTCGTTCCTAGTAATCCCTTGATGTGTCCTAGGATGGTGGGTTCTTGGGTCTTGGAACGGCATTGTAATGTCTCCAGCCTTGGATCAGGGCAAACCTGAGTGCGAATGAAACCTGACAAACGCTAACTGGCAAGGAGAAGGTGATGTGGGGGAGCAGGTGGAAGTCATTGGGTAGGGGGGCACCCCAGCTTAACTCAGTTGTGGATCACGGCAGCTTGCCAGGAGCTTAGTTTGCATAAAATGGAGTAGATTGCAGTGGCTGTGAGAAGTACTTTCCAGCATGCAGTGTAGCCTGGCTGCCCAGATTGAATGCTGGGTTCTGAGGTCTCCACATGTTATATCTGTGGTTGAGCCCTGTTTGTCCATTCCTGCCTTAGGGACTCTGTGACAAAACATAGGCTCTGTACTGCCATGTCCAAACATAGCCAATGTTTGTGAGTGCCATTGTATAGTCTCTTCTGAGTAATGTGGCCATTAACAGAGGGATGATTTATTCTTTGGGAATCTTGTTTGTCCCTATTAGCTCTCAAACAGACTGAAGAAGACTTGGAAGCCGCAGCTTTTTGAGCGAGAGTTGTATAGTGAGATCCTTGACAAGAAACTGACCATTACAGTCACCATGAGAACCCTGGACCTGATCGACGCAGCCTATGGATTGGATTTCTACATCCTCAAGGCAAGGCACATGTGTTTCTGCTTCGCTGAGTTATGTGGGAGGGTAGGCCCTTGAACTTTTCCCAGTGAGATCCACATCAGCAACTTGGCAGTCACCACAGTGCTGCACCCAAATCATGTAAGTGGAGCTGGTTGCAAGCACCCTAACCTTAATATGGCAGTGCAGCCCTAAAGGTCCCAGCCTGCAATGCTTCATCTTGATTTTGGCATTAAATGTTAGGGCGACTGTGACTGTATTCTAGACTTCTCTGACTCAGGGGCCTCACTCTGACCACACTTCAGAGTGAGTTGAGTTCAGTGTAGATGCAAGAGGTTATTTCCAGCCTTAGGTGGAAACAGCTTTAGGTCTGTCCTCAAGTCTTTCTAGTGAGAGCTTCAGCAACCTCCATGGGCAGATTATTCCACAGTTGTGCAGCTGTTTGAAGCATTTTCTTAGCGCCTAGTTTAAATTTATTTTCTGGCTGTTACTACAAAGCTGCCTGTAAAATAGTGGGCAGTACTGAGGAGTAGCCACCAGTAGGTGGGGGAAGGAGGACTGACTGTTTCACTGATGTTGCAGAAAAGTAATTTACAGTCTTTTGAATCCATCCATCAACATCAATCAATCATCAAACTTTATTCCTTCAGACTCCAAAGGTTGATCTGTGTTCCAAGCTAGGGATGGATTTGAAACGAACAATGCTGCTACGGCTCGCTCGGAAGGACCCTAGCCTGCATCCAAATGATCCAGCAAAGAGAGAGGCTATCTATAACAAGTATCAGGTGGGTAATTCATCTGTTGTTTATCATCAGATCTGTACAATGAAGCTTGTGTGTCCCTCCTAACTGGTCATGTTTCCTAGGCAGTGGGGTGATGAATACTTCAAGATTCTATTCTCAGGAGGGTAGAGTCAATTTTTTTTTTCTAATTCTATTGTTTAGCCAGTTGTCATTTTACATGGGCTGTTTGCTGAGTGCACCTTTGACTGGTCAGAAGGGGAAAGGCTCACGTTTTCGGTGTTAGCCAGAAAGACCTTGAAATGATCACTGGGCATCTAACATCACCACACAGAGGGGCCATCTGAGCTGCTGCTGCAGTGAAGCCCTATATATGTGTGTGGGGGATACTGGTAACATTTAATGCAGCTCATGCATTGGAGATGCACCTGCTGAAGTAAGTCGGCACAGAGCCAGTGTTAACGTAATACCCAGTTCCCACAGCTATTCTGACGTTCACTATGCTGACCTAAGATAAAGCCTGATAGCTTGTGTCCAATAAGAAACATACCTATGTTTGCTAAATGGAAAAGCACTAAGCTTCAGGGGATAAACTTCTTTGTTGGTCACCAGAAATGCAAAATGCTCAATTCTTTTTACCATGATTCTGTTCCAATTAGCTCCTTCCAGTTGCCTGAGACAGTCCCACAGTCCTACTGGAGCTAGTCACTAGCTTCCCCAGTAAAGATTGTACCATTAACCTTTTCCTCTTGTCACACAGGAATTTGTGATCCCAGAAGAGGAGGCTGAGTGGGTTGGGCTGAGTTTGGAAGAAGCTGTGGAAAAGCAGCGACTTCTAGAGAAAAAGGTGAGTTCTGAGTTATATGGGAACACAGTGTCCTGACTCTCACTTGGGCAGCACCCACTGGCTGTGTATCCAGTTGCTTTACAAAGAGCCCATACAGTGCTCTCATTGATCCTGTGCTCTGAGTTGGGCACCTCTGAAGCGCCACGTTAATCAGCACAGCTAATGTGGACATGTTTTAAACAGGGGATGTTTAATGTTGGAATGATTTCTTTGAGGGTGTTTAAGGGTCAGTTACAACACACACACCCCATACCCTGTAATGGAAATGCTTTGGGTCTGCTGGCTTCTTTCTTTTCAGAAGGAATCATTCCTCTGTGCCCCTTCTCGGTCACATCCATGCTGCTTAGGATATGTAGATATGACTGTAGGCTCCATCTCTCCCCCTGCAGCCCTATCAACTCCTCAGTTTCACTTGCTTTTCAGAAATACTCATCTGGAGCTTCTTAGTACTATGAGGTAGGGGCTGGGGGATCCCACAGGCAGCCACAATGCATCTCAGCAGCCTGCAGAGTCTGTGCCCCACACTCATCCCCAGTACTCCCCTCCTCTCACCTGTTTGCAACCTCAGCGGTCACAGAAACCCACAACATGGTGTGGCTAGTCATTCCTGAGCTTCATGGAGGATGGGATTCCAGGCCACCAATTCCAGGAATGGGGGTATCCTGTAGTAGCAGAGAGGAAGAAGGGACAGAGCATGGAAGGGTAGACAGTGGAGGCCAAGGGCAGTTATCAAAAGGCTTATGTGATAAACTCAGGACAGATGGCTGGGAGTAGAAAACAGTCCCAGAAGGTTAAAAGGCCCTCCTCCCTATCAGCTGAGGAGGGGTAACTACTGGTCAATCAGGTTCAGCTGAGAAGGGGTTACCAGAGAATCAATTAGGATCAGCTGAGAGGGAGTTACCTGAGGTCAATTAGGATCAGCTGATTCCAACTAAGGGCTACCTGAGACCTTTTTAAACCCTTCCCTGTTGGGAGAAGAGGTGGGAAGATAGAGAGAAGGAGTCAAGCTGCCTGTAGGCTAGGAGCAGCAAGACAGCTAGCCTCACCAAGAGGGAAGGCTGCATTCCCTCCCATAAGGGAAGAAAAACAAGCCCAAAAGACTGGCTGAGAGAAGGAATGGATTGCCCCAGCATCCTGGAAGGATTGTTTTACCCAAGCTCGTCTCACCAAGTGTCAGGGTTCCTTCCCCACTCTGAACTCTGGGGTACAGATGTGGGGACCCTCATGAAAAGCCCCCTAAGCTTATTCTTACCAGCTTAGGTTAAAACGTCCCCAAGGCACAGATTTCCTTCTTGCCGTGGCATCGCTGCCACCACCAAGTGATTTAACAAACAGTCAGGGAAAGGACCACTTGGAGTCCCATTCCCCCAAAATATTCCCCCAAGCCTATACACCCCCTTTCCTGGGGAGGCTTGAGAATAATATCCTAACCAATTGGTTACAAAATGATCAAAGACCCAAACCCCTGGATCTTGGAACAATGGAAAAATCAGTCAGGTTCTTAAAAAGAAGGATTTTATTTAAAGAGAAAAAGGTAAAAGGATCACCTCTGTAAACTCAGGCTGGTAATTAACCTTACAGAGTAGCAGAAAATTCAAAGAGCACAGAGGAACCCCCTCTAGCCTTAGTTTCAAAGTTACAACAAAACAGGGATAAACCTCCCTCTAGCAAAGGGAAAATTCACAAGTTGAAAAAACAAAGGTAAACTAATACACCTTGCCTGGCTATTACTTACAAGTTTGAAATATGAGAGACTTGTTCAGGATGATTTGGAGAACATGGATTGATGTCCGGTCCCTCTTAGTCTCAAAAGCGAACAGCCACAGAAAACAAAGAACCCAAAACAAAACCTCTCCCCTGCCCCAGATTTGAAAGTCTTTTGTTCCCATTGGTTCCGTTGGTCAGGTGTCAACCAGGTTACTTGAGCTTCTTAACCTTACAGGTAAGGAGGAGTTTAGGCTACCCCTATGGTTATGACACCAAGGCTAAAAACAGCTGAGGCTGGTGAGACTGAGAAGGTACCTTGCCACGCTTAGGAATCCTCATGTGGAATCATTGGTCTCTAGCCTTACCTGCATGGGTCAGTACTTGTGCTCTTCTGTGAACATACTTTCTTTTTGAGACATCCTAAACAGATGAGACACAGCTGAGGGGGAAAGGAGGTTGCCAACATTTTGGAGGATAGAACTAAAATTCAGGGGGATCTTGATAAATTGGAGAACTGGGCTGTAGATGATGTAATGAAATTCAACAAAGACAAATGCCCCCAGCCATAGCTCTGCCCTCATTCCCTCTGCCCCCAGGCCAGCTGTGCCTGTACCCCCAGCTCCTCCCCCATCCCCAGTTCTGCCCCCAGCTCCGCCTTCAGCCCAAGCTCCTCTGCTGAGCCAACTGTGCAGTAATTCGGGGGGGGCACGGACAGATTCCATTACTGGTCGGGGGGATGGGGGAGCACAACAGGGCACCACTGCTCCAGGTCTCTGCTTTCCCTCACCACGCACCCCTACAACTCCAAAGTACCTTTTTGCTTCTTAGTCTCCTTTGCTCTTCCTCTGGCCCCCTGCTGCTATTTCTTTTCTCCTGTTTGACACTCTGAGTGCCTTATCTCCCAATCTGTTAAACTCCTTTGGGACTTTGGCAGAGGTGAGATGGTCGGAGTGTTCTGCTGGAAATTAATGGCTGCCATCAGCTGGTCTTAAAATCTCTACAATTACAGAGCTTGTTAAAGCTGCTAGGTGTGCTAAGCAGATGTGAGGGGCTCTGTGCACCCCATTTCCCCTTTCTGATTTTCCCCAAAATCAATAGGGTTCTGCCCATACATGGGTAGAACGTTCCCTGAAATTTTGGAATTGATCAGATGTGGTATTCTGACGTTACAGCTTTACTTCCAGACACAGTCACATGCCATCAAGATGAGAGCAGGGCCCTGCTTTGCTCAGCTGGTAAAATGATCCAGCCCCTCCAGTATATGACCATCTGCTGTCCTGCAGCACTGACCTGGCTGAAATTGCTTGACATGTACAGCTGAATGGACAGACTGGTCAGTTTTCACCATCCCCCCTTTGGGATTCTAAGTACCACAGCCCAGACCCCACTTGTGCAGCCTCTTCCCAGGTTGCTGTCTGGTCTCAGTCCTGCCCAGACCTCTACCTATTTTCCTTGCCCTTCTTAGGGCCATTTCACTTTCAGCGAGGTGATAGTGACCAAAGTTCTATTCAGAGGCAACAGCAAACTGCTCAGTAGAACACCATGAGATGTTGTGCATCACTTTCTACCATATGTGCTTATGGCAGAGCATTGCACAGGTTCAGAGTTGTGTGTGAGAGAGAAAAGACTGGGTGATTTTTTCCCAGGGTACATTACTTTACACTTACTTCCATTGGTCACTGTGATCTGGGGGTGCCTGGGGCAGTCCTCACTGGAAATGCCAAGGGCAGGGCAGGCTGCAAAAGGGAGAGCAGATACTCCCAAAACAGGTGGTTAACATTGAAGTTAAGCTCATCAACCAGTCACAAACTGTGCTGCTGATCCCCCACGCTGGTTATCAAGAAGCAAAAAAAGAAATCACACCGCTTCCTTTTATGCATGCCAGTTTTCTTGGCTCCCAATCAGCACCGAGGTCCAGTACAGTGAAAAGTTATTTTAAACTCTGCTCACAAATACAAAAATGTTCTTCTGACCCCAAACGGTCAGCCATGTCACTAGGTCAGTATAGGTTTGGATCTTACCCAAAATATCACGCTGCGAGCCAATCATTTAGTGTCTAAAACTAAAGGTTTATTATAAAGAAAAAGGAAAGAACAACAAGAGATGTTAAATGGTAAAACAGTCACACACATACAAAGACTTTAAAGTCCGTATTTCAGGTCCTTAGCAGTATTGGTGAGTTTACTGGCTTGAAAGTTCCTCTGGAACACATCCACAGCTGGGTGGGTCATTCAGTCCTTTGTTCAGAGCTTCAGTTTGTAGCGAAGTCCCTCCAGCGGTATGAAGCAGGATTGTAGACAAAAGGGAGAAGATGAAGCTTCTTTTTATAGTCTCTTCCCATGCAGTCTGTGCTTCCTTTTTTTCAAACAAAAAGCTGCCCAGCATATGGCTTGGAGGCCTCAGAGTTCTGTCCATAGGCATGCCCCTACATGCCTTGCTGAGTCATAAGGTGTATCTGCCTTCTCTCAATGGGTCAGTTGTCTAGCTGATGGTCCTTAATGGGCCATCAAGCAGGCTAGGCAGAACAGACGCCCAAACTGTCTGGGGGGGGTCACCCAGAAGCATAGCACAAGTTTTGAAATACAGACATACATATCTATAACCCATAATACAAAGGTGACACACACATATAACCAAGATTATCATATTTGGCAAAATATAACATTTTTGCAGATACCTTATATGGCATATCTGGTGCAACTCATTACAATTTTACAATATTGATATTCAGAATATCCTTAAGTGTCCCCCAGATTCAACACAGCGTTACAGTCACCATGCTGCCTTTTCCTCCTAAACCATTCAGGAATGAAGCCGTATCCTTCCATGGGAGAGAGGGGAAGGGCTTGGGAAAACATCCCAAGGGTGAGCTGCAGGTTAGTGAATGGAGATGAGTCTTGGTGCTGTAGTACAGGTAGCGAGAGGCAGTGTGTGTAAAAGGTAAGGACTAAAACACCCATTAATGATTGTTCATGGTTTAACTAGTACAATGGCTGTTGTACACTTTACCCCTTCCCTCTTCCTGTTGCTGCTCAGGTTCAATTTCTCCTTAACCCGTTTTCTCTCTCAGGACCCTACTCCTCTTTTTAAAGTATACGTGGAAGAGCTGGTCCAGCAGCTCACGGAGCAGTCGCTTTCTGAATCAGCAGAAGTGAAGAAATCCTAGCTAGGAACAGCTTCCTGTCACAGATTGTGGAGTGCGTGGCCTTCTAGGACTGTTGTTTTCAGTAGCCCCCCTTCTGCCTCCTGAGTCATTCATGCGACAGAGAAAGGTATGCTGCTGAGGAGTTTGATCCAGAGTGATCATGGCTGCTATTACTCTCTAGCAATAGTGGCACAAAGTGAAGCCCGAATTTAGAAAGAAAATGGTCCCTTTTGGTCAGTGGAAGGACTTACCCCATAGCTTCCTGTCATGTGCCTGTTATACTGACCAAAGTGACGCCATCTGCCTCTGCAAATAATTCCCTTTGGGTCTTGAACTGGGAGCTGATTCAGATGCTTTGAACTGGATTCCTGATGTACAATGAAATGTACTTATTCAGGGCATCAATAAATACCTTTGTATCTGATAACCCTAATCCTCACTGCCTTTATTTGGTCTGTGTAGCACAGAATGAAAGCTTTAGGGATGAAGCAATTTAGGAGTTCAGGTCGCTTGCCCCAGTTTATATAGAAGAGCCAACTATTTAACATCTGAGATTCTGGGCTCCAAAATAGTGACAAATGTACATATATGCCAGCAGGTGGAGCAGTGTTCTCAGCCTGGGTGGACTGTATCTGTGTGTTACTGCTACACCATAATTCCGGTTGCATTAGAGTTCAGTTTAATACGAGATTTAAATCTTTATTTTGTAAAAATCTAATTGAAATGGCTAAAACCAAACCCTAGAATAAAGTGTAAGAGCTGTTTGAAGCATTTGTGGTGGTTTGATGAAAACTCAATACAGAAAGAACAAAGTTTAAAAATCACCTGCTTTGCCATTATTTCATTGGATTCTCACTCTTCTCTACACTCCAACATAAAACCATAACAGTGACCTCAGCAGGGTTCAGGCAGAGCCTTGTCCCCAGTGCCGGAATGGGGAGGAGGGGCAATGGCCCCCCCACTTTTTACTGGCTATGAGGGCAAGCAAGGGAGGGGAGGGGGCGGAGAGGAGTGACCTGGGGGAGGCAGGGTCTTTTGCAGGGGGGAGGAAGAGACAGCGCAAGAGTGGGGCCTCAGAGAGAAGGGGCCATGTGGGGGCTCAGGGAAGGGTGGTACAAGGGCAGGGAGAAGGGGCAGGGCAGGGACTCTGGGGGAACTAATGGTTTGGGTACTTGTGGGCCACTCACTTTTAGGGTGCTTCCACTGCTCCTGTCCCCATTGCATGGAATATTGAGCAGCCAGATTTGCTGATCTGTTGATGTAATTGATCTAAAAGGATTGGGAGCACTGTTAATGTTTTACCCTAGTGGGTTTGATGAAGCTGAGGTATGTAGTGTTTTTGTTGGAGATGGAAGTGAAAGCCTTACGGAGTGCTGAAGAGTGTTCTCAACAGCATTTATAGCCCATATGAAGATAGAAAGGAATGCCCAAGTCTTTTCTCTTACTTCCATGCCTTTAAGATGACTTTTGTTCCTGCATTAACTGTTCCTAAATAGAGTTTTCTTCTTCAAATGAGGTTCCCTGTGTGTATTCCACACACTGGTGCACATGTGCTCCAGCTGCTGGAGTCTGAAATTTTTTTTTCAAGCAGTATCCATTGGTACACATGTGCCATAGCATTCTTCATGCACCGAACTGAGGGCATAAAAGCTGGTGTGGGCCAACACCTCTCCAGTTCCTTCTGAATGGTCCAAGTAGAAATCTTCGGTGTTCTCAACTCATTTCTACGGTGTTGTTTCTGTAAATATATTCTAAATAGTTTTAGTATTTTTTCTAGTAAAGTGTAGTTAGATAGTTGGTCTCCTTTTTCCACCCTACACGCACCTTGGAGAATTTATTCCCCACCAGGGAAGCCTGGGATTATGCCTAGGGTTCCGAGGTTCAAGAACTGTTTCGTGCCCTAGCTCTTTTTCTGTGAGTGACGAACATTTCAGCCAAGGGCAGCATCTGCAGCTCCTTTCTCCCAGAACTCCTGACGGTTGGGAACTTAAGAAACACCTAACAGAGAAGGAAATGAGACTCTAGTCTGATCAGGGCCAGGGACACTCCCCTCCCCATATGTCAGACTCATCAAACAGGAACTGAGGTTAAGGCCATGTCTACACTTATCAGGGATCCACCCTGCTGCGATTGATGCAGCAGAGGTTGATTTAGTGCAGTGGTTCTCAAACTTCTATACTGGCAACCCCTTTCACATAGCAAGCCTCTGAGTGTGACCCCCCCCCATCAATTAAAAACACTTTTAAATATATATAACACCATTATAAATGCTGGAGGCAAAGCAGGGTTTGGGTTGGAGGCTGAGAGCTCGTGCCCTCCCCATGTAATAACCTTGTGACCCCCTGAGGGGTCCTGACCCCCAGTTTGAGAACTACTGATTTAGTGGTTCTAGTGAAGACCCGCTAAATTGACCGCAGAGCGCTCTCTGTTTGACTCTGGTACTCCAGAACTATAAGATTAAGGTAAGTCGATGGGAGAGCATCCAACGCAGCGTGGTGTAGACACTGCAATAAATCGACCTAAGCTACCTCAACTCCAGCTACATTAGTCACATAGCTGGAGTAGCATAACTTAGGTCGACTTACTGTAGTTGTGTAGGCAAGGCCTAAGACTTCTAAGCCTGAAGAGAAGCCTTCCCATGAGAGTAAGAGGCACTCATAGGCAAAAGGACAAACAATCTTTGTCGAAAACTGCTCCAAAGAGGAAGGATCCCTCCCCACCCTGTCAAAGTTGGGAGAGCCTAGCATATGGGTGCTAAGGACTTGAGTAACTCTTCCTAGCAAGTGAACGTGGTGCTTAAGGGTACAGATCCACCAGTTGCAGCACCAGTTCCTATGGCTAAGGACAAAAAGTGAGTGGTGCTCTCTGCAACATCCAGGGCCAATGTGGTGACTAAAACAACATGGCTCCAGATGGATCTGACTTCCACTGTGACCAGGGAAGCTTTGGGTCTGACAGCTCCACCAGTAGACTGTCCCTGCTCCCCAGTGTGGTCTGAGATCTAAGTCTTCCTGGAGGACATTTTTGCTCTCCCCTGATCTCATTCACCCCTCCTCTCGGGACCGTCCCTATTCCAGGACATTGTTACTCCTGGGGATGCAAAGTCGTTCTTCCATCTTGCCTGCCAGCCTCAGTGCCATTGGTTTCTACAGGTATGTTAGCAACAAGAAAAAGGTCAGGGAAAGTGTGGGACCCTTAACGAATGGGGGAGGCAACCTAGTGAGAAGATGATGTGGAAAAGGCTGAAGTACTCAATGCTTTTTTTTTGCCTCTGTCTTCACAGACAGGGTCAGCCCCCACACTGCTGTCCTGGGCAACACAGTATGGGGAGGAGGTGAGCAGCCCTCCATAGTGAAATAACAGGTTAAGAAAATTTAGAAAAGCTGGACATGCAAAAGTCCATGGGTCCAGATCTAATGCAGCCAAGAGTGCTGAGGGAATTGGTTGATGTGATTGCAGAGCCATTGGTCATTTTCTTTGAAAACTCGTGGCAATCAGGGGAGGTCCCAGATGATTGGAAAAAGGGCACTATATTTGCCATCTTTAAAAAAGGGAAGGAGGAGAACCCGGGGAACTACAGACCAGTCAGCCTCACTTCAGTCCCTGGAAAAATCATGGAGCTGGTCCTCAAGGAAACCATTTTGAAGCACTTGGAGGAGAGGAAGGTGATCAGGAACAGTCAACATGGATTCACCAAGGGCAAGTCATGCCTGATCAACCTGATTGCCTTCTATGATGAGATAACTTCTGTGGATATGGGAAAAGCAGTGGACGTGATACATCTTGACTTTAGCAACGCTTTTGATATGGTCTCCCACAGTATTCTTGCCAGCAAGTTAAAAAAGTATGGATTGGATGAATGGACTATAAGGTGAATAGAAAGCTGGCTAGATTGTCGGGCTCAACGGGTAGTGAACAGCCGCTCAATATCTAGTTGGCAGCCAGTATCAAGCGGAGTGCCCCAGGGGTCGGTCCTGGGGCTGGTTTTGTTCAACTTCTTTATTAATGATCTAGACGATGGGATAGGTTGCACCCTCAGCAAGTTCGCAGATGACACTAAGCTGGAGGGAGAGGTAGATATGCTGGAGGGTAGGGATAGGGTCCAGAGTAATCTAGACAAAATGGAAGTTTGGGCCGAAAGAAATCTGATGAGGTTCAACAAGGACAAGTGCAGTGTCCCGTACTTAGGACGGAAGAATCCCATGAATTGCTACAGGCTGGGGACTGACTGGCTAAGCAGCAGTTCTGCAGAAAAGGACCTGGGGATTATAGTGGATGAGAAGCTGGATATGAGTCAGCAGTGTGCCCTTGATGCCAAGAAGGCTAACTGCATGTTGGACTGCATTAGTAGGAGCATTGCCAGCAAATCGAGGGAAGTGATTATTCCCCTCTATTCGGCAGTGGTGAGATCACATCTGGAGTATTGCATCCAGTTTTGGTCCCCCCACTACAGAAAGGATGTGGACAAATTGGAGAGTCAAGCGGAGGGCAACGAAAATTATAAGGAGGCTAGGGCACATGACTTACAAGGAGAGGCTGAGGGAACTGGGCTTGTTTAGTCTGAAGAAGAGAAGAGTGAGGGGGGATTTGATAGCAGCCTTCAACTACCTGAAGCGGGGTTCCAAAGAGGATGGAGCTTGGCTCTTCAGTGGTGGCAGATGACAGACCAAGGAGCAATGGTCTCAAATTTCAGTGGGGGAGGTCTAGGTTGGATATTAAGAAACATTTTTTCACTAGGAAGGTGGTGAAGCACTGGAATGGGAGCTGGTGGAATCTCCATCCTTAGAGGTTTTTAAGGCCTGCTGGACAAAGCCCTGGCTGGGATGATTTAGTTGGGGTTGGTCCTGCTTTGAGCAGGGGGTTGGACTAGATGACCTCCTGAGGTCTCTTTCAACCCTAATCTTCTATGATTCTAATCTGGGATCTGTCCTTTTCTTCCAGTGAATTGGAAACTCCTTTGGAGTCTCTGCAATACCAAGTAGAGGTGACTCCAGAGAGAAGCCCTATAAGATCAAGGTCCCGACCTATGGCCAAACATGATTGGCCAAAAGACAGATGGTACCCTGTGCCATGAGGTTCTCCCCTGCCAGTTGCTTCCACGTACTGGCATTGTTGGGAGCCCTACTGTAGACACCCATGGTTGGTACGTGATCCCTGTTTCCGATCGCCTGGCCAACACCAAACAGCTCCACCAGAGTATTCTGGATCTGACTGTTCTGGAGTCTAATTTCATCGACTTCACTGGATGAGGTGGTTATTCCATCTTCTGTGTCTCTGCCTGATGACTTCAGGCAATATTAGGAGCTTTTGCTCAGTTGGGCTTCCAAGGTGCAGATTCAGCTTGAGGAAATTCAGGAGCCTCAACAAGAGTGCTGGATATTTTGCAGCCTTCTGGTCCCAGTCAGACAGCCCTCCTAATCAACAAGGCCAGCATGGACCCAGCAAAGACTTTGTAGCACACTCCTGGTTCTTGTGCTTCCACCCCAAAGAGAGTCAAGAAGTGTTACTTTGTTCCATCCAAAGGGGGAGAGTTTTTATTCTTGCATCTGCTGCCTAACTCATTGGTTGTACAAGTCGCTACCAAGAGATCCAGGCAGCAATATCCAAAGGCTGTTCCCTGTGATAAGGGGCACAAACAGCTCAACCTCCTGGGAAGAAAAGTCTTCTCTTCCACCTCTCCTCCAGTTCAGGGTCTTGAACTATCAGGCCCTTCTTGTCATATGTGACTTTACCAGTTATGCTAAGTGTCTAGATATTAAGGACATGCTCCAGGAAGAGGATAGAGCTGAATTCCGGGCCTTAATTGATGTGGGCAAATTGGTGG